AAACATAAAACACATAGTGCCAAGAAGGTGAGCAAACATATTAAGAACAGTATGCCATATATGCCAGGTCCCTTGAAACAGCAAGGATGGACTGGCTCCCGGCAAAATGGTAGAGCATCATTATAAAAATAGTCGTTTTTTTCCAGTCTGTTATGTTCATTATTACAAATAGTGGTGCAATGGATATATGGGTGGGTATATCTTTTTGAATTCATGTTCTCTGTATAAATCGCCAGAAATGGAATTACTGTGTTAACTGGTACTTGTTTATGAATATTGGAAAATTCTCCATTGTGTTTTGTGAGTGGCTGCACGAATCTATATATATCTAAAAGTGTAAGTGAGTGTTACACCCTGTCTACCGCATGACCCGATGAACGGTCGCTATGACAATGCACTGACCCATTATGAATAAACAGCTCCTTGTAGGCTTTTGTGTAGATCAAAGGCTTAACTCTTTGATTTTATAGTAGGGAGCTGAGTTATAAATTTTATCGCCTTACATGTCAAATCAAATGAAATCTTTTATTTCAAATGGTAGAGCATCATTATAAAAATAGTCGTTTTTTTCCAGTCTGTTATGTTCATTATTACAAATAGTGCTGCAGTGGATATATGGGTGGGTATATCTTTTTGAATTCATGTTCTCTGTATAAATCGCCAGAAATGGAATTACTGTGTTAACTGGTACTTGTTTATGAATATTGGAAAATTCTCCATCGTGTTTTGTGAGTGACTTCACGAATCTATATATATCTGAAAACGTAAGTGACTATTACACCCTGTCGACTGCATGACCGGATGAATGGTCGCTATGATGATGCACTGACCCCCCAGGGGGCAGATGCTCAAAGCAGGAGCTGACCCCTGGTAGTCAGTGCACTTCTACAGCCAACCTCCCGTGGCTGGCCAACCTCCCGTGGTCCCTCCCCCGGCCTGCCTGGTGGTCAGTGCGCTTCCACAGCCAACCTCCTGCGGCTGGCCAACCTCCCGTGGTCCCTCCCCCGGCCTGCCTGGTGGTCAGTGCGCTTCCACAGCTAACTGGCCTGGGGTGGCCAGTCTCCTGCGGGCCTTTCCACTGACTGGCCGACTCCAATCGCCAGGCAGTCCGAGGGACCCCTCCCATGCAAGAATTCGTGCAGTGGGCCTCTAGTGTGTTTATAATCTTGCTGACAGTGCACGAATGTTCTCATTTCTCCACTTCATTGGTGATGCTTGTCGTTTTTTGATTTATGGATAACTGGCATCTTGTTAGGTGTTTTGGTAGTATTTCGTGGTGGTGTCCATTTGCATTTCTCTGATGATGAATGAGTTGAACATCATTTAATACCAGTATGTTTATTGTACATCTTTATGTCCTGTTTGGGAAATGTCTACTCAAGTCCCCTACCCATTTTTCAATCATGTTGTTTGTCCTTTTGGTGTTAAGTTGTGTGAGTTCCTTGTATATTTTGGATCTTTAGCTTTTGAGGATGTAACATTGCTGGGTTTTTGTGGTGATTATTTTGTGGTTTCTTTTGTTATGCCAAACTTATTCTTTAGTAGTCTCATTTCTTTATTTTTAGCTTCTTTGTTATGTCTAGAAGACATATGCAAACCAGAATTTTTAAAAGAGTGATGGTAAAGTTCATTGACTGCTTTTTTCCAGTGTTTGCATGGTTTCAGGTCTTCTATATTAGTTGTTCATCCATGCTGAGTTCATTTTGGTTCATGACCTATGAATGGGGTCTAGTTTTATTGTTTTTGCATGTATCTGTTCCGTTTTTCTAGCACTACTTGGTGAAGAATCTGTCTTTACCTATTGTGTATTCTTGCCTTCTATCTTATAGATTAGTTAACCATATAGCTTTTGACATTTTTTTAAAAAATAAATTTTTGATTGATTTCAGAGAGGAAGGGAGAAGGAGAAAGAGATAGAAACATCAATGTTGAGAGGGAATAATTGATTGGCTGCCTCGTGCATGCCCCCTACTGGGGATCAAGCCCACAACCTGTGCATGTGCCCTTGATTGTAATCGAACCTGGGACCCTTCAGTTCGCATGCCGACGCTCTATCCACTGAGGCAAACTGGCTAAGGTTAGCTTTGGACATTTTAAAAGTTTTGTTACTTCTTTTTTCATGTTGATTTTTAAAAGGTCACTGTATATTCTGGATATTAACTACTTATCAGATAATGTACTTTGTAGAAATATTTTCCCATGCCACAGCTTGTATTTTAAACGCACTGAGAATTTGCTTTATTGAAAGTTATATTTATATGGGGTGTAATGCCTTTTGACTATTTTGTTTTGTTTACCTTTCCTCTTAGTGCTATAATAAAAAATCAAATGTCATAGAAACTTTTCTATATGGCCTAGCCCAGTGGTCGGCAAACTCATTAGTCAACAGAGCCAAATATCAACAGTACAACGATTGAAATTTCTTTTGAGAGCCAAATTTTTTAAACTTAAACTATATAGGTAGGTACATTTTTATAACTTAATTACGGTACTCCTAAGGCTTAGGAAGAGCCACACTCAAGGGGCCAAAGAGCCGCATGTGGCTCGCGAGCCGCAGTTTGCCCACCACGGGCCTAGCCAGATCGGCTCAGTGGGTAGAGTGTCAACCTGTGGACGAAAGGGTCCAGGGTTCGATTCCAATCAAGGGCACAAGGCCAAGTTGCAGGCTCGACCACTAGTAGGGACCATGCAGGAGACAGCCAATCAATGAATCTCTCTCTTTTTTTTAATATATTTTATTGATTTTTTACAGAGAGGAAGGGAGAGAGATAGAGAGCCAGAAACATCGATGAGAGAGGAACATCGATTAGCTGCCTCCTGCACATCTCCCAACTCAATCCACTGAGCCAAACCGGTTTCGGCCAATGAATCTCTCTTAATGTTTCTGTCTGTCTCTCCCTCTCCCTTCCTCTCTGAAAGCAATACAAATGTATTTAAAAGAAAAACAGAAACTTTTCTGTAATTTGTCATTTAATAGATTGAGTTATTACCAGCTTTATATTTCAATCTTTTATCCATTTTGGTTTAATATTTGTATGTGGTGTTTAATAACAGCCCAACTTCGCTCATTCTTTTCCACGTAGACATCTGAGTATCTCAACACTATTCACATATGTGAGAATATCCTTCGTGGTGTAGGCACCCTTGTAGAAGATTATTTTACCTCGTGTGAGAAGTTGTAAGTAGGCTCTTTATCCTACAGTGTTTCTTTTTTGTAGTTGTTAATCTTCACATGAGGACATTTTTTCCATTCCTTTTCACAGAGAGTGGAAGGGTGGGAGTAAGGACAGAGGACAGAGTGGGAAACATCGATGTGAGACAGACATGTCAGCTGGCCCCCTTCTGTCCCTACTTCAACGCAAGTGGGGTGGGAATTTGTAACTGAGGTATGTGCCCTTTAATGGGAATTGAACCCCCCACCCTTAAGTGCACAGAATGATACTGTAACCCTGAGCCGCACTGGCCAGGGCCTACCGTGCCCCTCTATTTACCTGTGTCTTAATGTGTAGATGGTACTTTTGGATCACACCAGTTTTGAAATATTTTTTTAAATCAGGAAGCATGATGCCTTTAAGGTTTTACTGTCTCTTCCATGTTTGTTTTGGTTCCCTGGTGTCCTGTGTCATTAATTTTAGGATGAGGTTTGCTAATTTTGTGAAAAGTGTCATTGGGACGTGGACAGTGACTGCTTTGAAGGGTCACGGCATTAGGAAGGTTGAGAACCACTGGCTTATACTGTTAGCATTCCAATTTAAGGTCATTGCACGTGTGGTTCATTTATTGAGTTCTTATGTAATTACAGCCAACACTACTTTGTACTTTATTTTTATTGATTTTAGAGGAAGAGAGCAACTTGGTGGGGAGTGGCTGAGAGAGAGAGAATTTGAGATATACATTCATTTCCCCACTTAGTTATGCATTCATTGGTGAGTTTTTAGCGTGCCCTGAACAAAGATCAAATCTACAGTGTTTTGGTATGAAGACCACACTCTAAACAACTGGGCTACTTGGGCAAAGTGAGAATGTCCTTTTCTGATCTGTGGTTTAGGCACCTTTGGCGAAGATCTTTAGACCCTATCCACGAGGATTTCTATGTCGGCTTTTATTCTACCTTGCTTCATTATTTCCCTTTGCCTTAATGTTTGAATCACAGGTTTTGTTTGAGTGTTTATAATTTTTTATTTTTTTATTGATTTGAGAGAGAAATGGAGAAGGACAGATAGTTAGAAACATCAATGATAAGAGAGACTCATTGATAAGCTGCCTCTTGCACGTCCCCTACTGGGGATCAAGCTCACAACCCTGGCCTGTGCCCTTGAGAGGAATTGAACCCAGGACCTTTCAGTTCACAGGATGGTGCTCTATCCACTGAGCCAAACCGGGTAGGGCTGTATTATAGTTTTTTTGATAGCAGAAGTTTTGAAGTATGTTTTAATATTAGGAAACCTGAAGCTTTCAATTTCATACATTCTTTTTTATTTTTTTAAATATGTTTTTATGGATTTCAGAGAGAAGGGAGAGGGAGAGGGAGATAGAAACATCAATGATGAGAGAGAACCATTGATAGGCTGTCTCCTGCATACCCCACACTGGGGACCGAGCCTACAACCTCCACCTGCGCCCTTGACCAGATGCAAACCTGGGACCTTCAGTCTGCAGGGCAATGCTGTGTCCACTGAGCCACACTGGCTAGGGCCAGAAATTTTTATATATGGTGTGAGACAGGGAGTCCACAGTCATTCTTTTGATTTCAGACAGGAAAAGAGAGGGAGAGGGAGAGAAACATCAATGATGAGAGAGAATCATTGATCGGCTGCCTCCTGCACACCCCCAACTGGGGATCGAGCCCGAAATCTGGACATGTGCCCTTGACTGGAATCGAACTTGGACCCCTTCAGTCTGTAGGCTGGCTGACTATCCACTGAGCCAAACCAGTTAGGGCTTGCCATACATTCTTTTCACAATTCTTTTGTTACATGGAGTCCTGTGACATTCACATTACTTTTAGAAAGAGCTTTTCTATTTCCACCAAAAGTGTCACTGAGACTTTGATAGGGATTACTTTGAAGGTTTAGGCCACTTTGTGTACTAATGACAGCTGATACTGTTAGCATTGCAAACTAGACTCATGGAATGTGTTTTCCAACTTACTGATTTCTGCTGGGGTTCATGTCCCAGCATCAAGAAAGGTTCAGGAATCTGGAAAAGGGGCTGCGTGTAGATGACATAGAAATCCAGAGACTAATAAAGAGTCCGGAGACGAGTTGAGTAAGTCATTGGGAGTCAGAGGACCTTCCGCTAAAGGAACTGAAGACTCCCTCCTTGTCTAGGACCCTTGCTTTATTAACACAATTTGTCCTAAGGCAAGGTGGAGATAATACACTTCAATGGGTAAGGTTTCAAAGGGTACAGAGTCCATTGTCAGAATGGGGGAATAGCCTAAGGCTGTTCAGGTGTTTGGCCAGTAGGAGGCAATAACATGTAGATTAAGATGCCCTTTAACTGTTTGGCAGCCACAATCAGTTTCCTATTCAGGTTTGGGGAAATGCCTTGTTAGTGTCTTAGGAGTTCCTTAAATTCTCTTCATATTTCCACATGTTTATTGGCTTTTCAGAATCAAAATTTTAATGATTTATGTGCAAATTCATCATTTAATTATTATTTTTTAAATGTATCTTTATTGATTTAAGACAGGAAGGGAGAGGGCGAAAGAGAGAAACATCAATGAAGAGAAAGCATCATTGATCAGCTGCCTCCTGAATGATCGGGGATTGAGCCTACAACCAAGGCCTGTGCCCTGACCTGGAACTAAAGTGTGACCACCTGGTTCATAGATTGAAGCTCAACCACTGAGGCACCACTTCCAGGCAAATTCTTTGATGTTTTAAGTTAAACACATCTTTCATTAATGATTCTATCATATTTTTTAATTCGGGTATTATGTTTTTCAATTTCCCCTTTTTGGTATGGTGTTTATAAAATACTTTCTCATTGTATTTTTACTTTAATTACATAATATTTTAGTGATATTATTGTCATTTTATTTCTCCTGTTTAGCTTTAAGATATTTAGTTCTATTCTTTTTCAGGTAATTAATATATTCCCATTAATGTAGTGCATGTTTGATTACTTTTATTTTGTATTTCTGACAGTATACTTTTTGTTTCTTTGCATGACTTGATATCATTTGTTGAGATTCCAGAATTGTAAACAAGCAGGCTTTTGAACATGTTTTCTGTAGGAGGAAACAATAATAACCATCAGTGGAACAAATCCTACTTTCAGTCAACACTGCTTTCAGGATCTGTATTCTAGATTCTATTGTCTGTTTAATTTCCCTGTTGAATTATTCTGTTTCTTTCTCCGGCCCATGGTATCTTTTCAGACTTGATACACATCTTTAGTCCTGCAGTCTTTACGGTGCTTGAACACTTTTTCATTGTTTCTTCGTAGCAGCCACTGCAGGTCACTCACATATACTGCCATTCTGTTCGCACTCTTGTGTCATGCACAACAGACACATGTTCTTCATGATGCTTCAAAACAGGGAGATCACTGAGCACCCACTTCACTCCTCTCTCTTTCTTTGCAGCGAAGAAACTGGGAATTGGGAGTGTTTTTATAATATTGTCGTTGTGTGCCAGGGGGTTTGAGCAGGTATCATTGGCAAATGTAAACAACTCTTTCTTCCTCTTTGATGTGAGTTTTCTTCGTTGTACCTATCTTGAGCTTTTTTTGAATCCTTCACTGACTTTTGGAGTACTCAAAATTGTCATTGGTCAATACTTGCTGTTAACTTCAAAGTGCACTCACCTGATTGTCAAAATTGAAAATTTGTTTTTTTTTCAGCTATGTCATCTGAAGATGACCAGGCCTTTATGCCTAAGCCTGGAATACAAGATTTATTCTCTGAAATAATACTGGTAAGATATAAAAGGTGTGGTTTTGATAATGTACACTTAATGAAAGCCTTGGAATTTCAGAAAGAGTGGGATGAGAAGGGAGGATTTTAATATAAACAGACCTAATCTGCAAGTTATCAATAAATTTCTTGTTACCTACAGAGGTCAGGTGTATTACGCATTAGGGGAAAGTCAGTTACATTGGAAAATCAGTGTGTTTCTGCACGTGATGGTCGAAAACAACATTAACTGTTATGCATTCTTGGAAAGGGAATCAGGATAAACTAGGAATTCACATAGTCTGTAGTGTAAATAATCATTTGAATTGTTTAAAGTATAGGGTGGTATTAAATTTTCCTTCAATCACTTCTGAAATGTATAGATTTATTCTGTATCCATAAAATTTAAATGTGCTCAATTTAGCAATCCTTTATGATATTTTTTATTTAAAAATATATTTGTATTGATTTTAGAGAGTAAGGGAGAGAAAGAGAGAGAGGAAAACATCAGTTATGAGAGAATCATTCATTGGCTGCCTCCTCCATGCCTCCCACTGTGGACTGGTCCTGGAACTGGGGCATGTGCCCTGAACTGGAACAGAACCATGACCTACTTGTTCATATATTGAAGCTCAACCACTGAGCCATGCTGGCTGGGCAGTTTGGCAGTCTTTTAAACAAGGATTCATTCTTCTTCCTCTGACAATGTTTTGTACTAGTATTTATTTTTTGCCTATAATTTTGATAAATTAGGAAAGCTTTTTCTATACAACCATCTTGGTTTAATGAATATCACAGGATGGTTCTTATGAACCAAGTGTACATGTTTAATGAAATTATAACTGTTACTAAACGTCTTTCTATCTCCCATTATTACCAGCATACACATAATGGAAATAGCAGCTATCAATGGATTGAACATTGGAAAAAGTTTAAGCAAAAGTCATATTTTAATCATTGGAGAAGTGAGCTTGCAGAGGGCCATTATAAAAGTGGAAATGTCTTTGAGCAAATGTCCAATCACAATATACATCAGGTTAATCCTGTTGTGGAGAAGACACACAATGGAAGTGAATGTGTCCAGTCTTTTCAGCAGTCTTCACATTACGTTGAACAGGAGAATATTCATTCTGGGGAGGAGGCTTACAAATGGAATCCATGTGGGAGAGTCTTCAGTCAAATATTCAATCTAAATATAATGGAAAAAATCCATAGTGGAGAAAAACCTTATCAATGTAAAGATTCTGGTAAAACATCTAATTGGCCTTCAAGTTTGACTCTAAATCAGAAAATTCACACTGCAGAGAAGAGTTACAAATGTAAAGCATGTGGCAAAGCCTTTAAATGTCATTCATCTCTTATTGTACATAAGGAAGGAAATCATACTATAGCAAAATTTCACAAACTGGGGGAAAATGGAAAAGGCTTTAGTCAGTCCTCAAGACATAATCAACATCATAGAATTCATACAGAAGAAAAGTCTTATAAATGTTCAGAGTGTGGTAAAGTCTTTAGCCAGCCCTCAACTCTTAATATTCATCTGAGAATTCACACTGGAGACAACCCTTATAAATATAGAGAATGTGGCAAATTCTTTAACAGCCATGCAATTCTTAGTAATCATCACAGTGTTCATACTGAAGATAAGCCTTATAAATGTAGAGAATGTGGTAAAGGATTCCTCCACGTCTCAAACATGATTCGACATCAGAAAGTTCACACTGGAGAGAAACCTTACAAATGTATAGAATGTGGCAAAGCCTTTAACCAGTCTTCCTCCCTTAATCGTCATCAGAGTGTTCATACTGGAGAGAAGCCTTATAAATGTACAGAATGTGGCAAAGCGTTCAGTGAGTCCGCAACCCTTAATCGACATCAGAGAGTTCATACTGGAGAGAAGCTGTATAAATGTAGAGAATGTGACCAAGCCTTTAGCTGGCCCTCAACCCTTAGTAATCATCAGAAAATTCACACTGGAGAGAAACCTTATAAATGTAAAGAATATGGCAAATCCTTTACCAGCCATGCAGGTCTTACTAATCATCAAGGTGTTCATACTGAAGATAAACCTTATAAATGTAGAGAATGTGGTAAAGCATTCCTCCATGCCTCAAACATGATTCGACATCAGAAAGTTCATACTGGAGAGAAACCTTACAAATGTATAGAATGTGGCAAAGCCTTTAGCGATTCATCAATTCATACTGGTGAGAAGCCTTATAAATGTAGAGAATGTGGCAAAGCCTTTAGCTGGTCCTCAAACCTTACCACGCATCAGAGAGTTCACACTGGAGAGAAGCCTTATAAATGTGGAGAGTGTGGCAAAGCCTACAGGCATTCCTCAGCCCTTATTTACCATCAAAGAGTTCATACTGGAGAGAAGCCTTATATGTGTGGAAAATGTGGCAAATCCTTTGGCAATGCTTCAAACCTCTTGGCACATCAGAGAGTCCATACTGGAGAGAAATATTAAACATGTGAGGAGAGTAATAAATCCTGTACCAGCAGTGAGAACTTGCTGAACATCACAGAATTTTAAATGGGAAGAAGCTTTCTGAATGTGAAAAGTGTAGAAAAGTCTTTAAAAGGCATTTTTGTATTACTGTACATGAGAGACTTTCATACTAAAGAGAGACCTTACTAATTTAGAGCATGTGCAAACGCTCAAAATTTACTGAATAACAGACGTTTATATTGGAGGAAACCTTGCACTGTAGAAAATGTGAGAAAGCGCTGGCTGGCATTCCTCGGTGGTTTAGCTTTGACCTATGAGCCACAAGGTCAGGGTGCAACTCCTGGTCAGGGCACAGACCCTGGTTGGGGACTCAATCTCCAGTGTGGGGCATGCAGGAGCCAGGTGTTCCATGATTCCCTCTGATCAGTGATATTTCTATTTCTCTCTTTTCCTGCCTAAATCATGATGGCGACGGCTGTGAGAGTTCCCAATGGCCGCTGCCACTTGCCCAGGGCTGGGACGGGCGGGGGAGGTGAGGCCCAGTGGTGGCAGGTGTGAGTGCTCCTGATGGCCCGCAGGCGCTGCATCAGCTCAGCCCACAGGCTCCTCTTGGCACCTCTCATAGCCATCGCCACATGCTATGGTATAAAACACATTGTGTAAGTTAACTGAAGCACAGGCACCACCTCCACGCCACACCCCCACTGAACCTGAGGCGCCCTCCCCAAGCTGTTTCTGGTGAGGTCTGTGGGAAGATCCTGCCCTCGGAGAGAACTGGCCACAGAGGAGGCAGATGGCACCGCAGACATCGGGGTGGGCAGCCTGGCTTCCCGCACACCGAGGGCCTGGGAGGACCCCAGCCACAGAGGTGGCACAGGGCCCACTGACAATGAGGCAGCTGCGGTGGCAGCGGCCCGTGTGACTGAAGGCGTGCTGATCATCTGTGGAGCCCTCTCAGCAGGCCGCCCTCGCCCTCCCCATCGCCGCTGGCTCATCCCCCTGCAGCCTCCTCACCCCGAAGGTATGCAATTGCAGGGACATTCACCGTGGCAGGCCAGATTCACATCCTCCTGGCCATGCTGCGCGTGTTTGCGGACCTGCACAGGCACACGCCTCCTGTGCGCACATCATCTTCCCCCCTTCCCCCTGCTCGTGTGTGAATGTCCCCCAGTGCGCCATCACCCATGTGTGCCTGGACCACAGCACATGCACGTTTCCCATCCTCTGCCACACTTCCCTCAACCCTGTCATACCTACAGGGTTGAAACAATGTGCACACGTCCCCTCTGGCACGGTCGAGTCCTTTGGAGCGTGTCTGGGTGCTCAGGGTGAGCACTCTCTGATATGACAGAGGGCAGAGCGGTGACACCCTGTTCCCGTGTAGTCTAGTGTGGTGATGAGATTGCCTCCATGGGGCTAATGCAGGTGCTGAGGTGAGAGCAGGTGTGGACAGACACACCTGGTGGGCTTGGCATGGCCCTCGCTGAGGTGCCTTCGCTCAGTGTTCCAGATCAGGAACCCAGAGGAGGTGAGGAGGTTCGTCCTCTCAGTGAAACGGCGGGAGAGTCGGGGCGACTGCAGAGGAGGAATGTGCACTCTGGGTGCCAGGACCCATGAATGAAGCCTGCCCTGACTGAACCTTGCTCGCTTGGGGCCTAGCTCAGTCCTGCAGGGCAGTGGGTGACAGGACATGCTTTTCCAAGTTAATGAGAGCAAACATTGATTCTCCTGCTGCCCACAAAGGTGGGAAGCAGAGTGGGGAGATATGCAGGGAGTGAGTGAGATTCCCCTCCTGGGGGTTCCAAACCTGCTGTTGGTTCCTTTCACCATGGCTAGAGATGTACAGAATGTCCCCACAAAATGTATACACACTTTGAATACCTACTAATTACAATGGGTTTAAGTATGAAAAGAAACAACGGAGCTGTCATCTGTTAAAAGTGTGGGCATAAACTGGCAGTTGGACATCCCCCGAGGGGTTCTGGATTGGAGAGGGTGCAGGTCAGAATTTTGTGCACCAAGCTTCTAGTATATATGTAAAAGCCTAATATGGAAATTATCCGCTGGGGAGTTCAACCGGGAGAGAGGAAGTTTCATCACTTGCCATGATGTGCACTGACCACCAGGTGGCAGTGATGCTCTGAGACCTCTTGCAAGCTACTTCAGGGTAGGGGTGATGGGGCCAGCAGTCTGGTGAGAATGCAGGGTGTCCACCAAAGTCCCTCTCCCCCTGCTACCTGGGACACCAGGGCCCATGCTCCAGGGAAGCCCCCTGTGCTCAGGTGCTGGCATCCATGAGGAGCCTGCCCCACAGCTATTCAGCCTCTCCCAGCCACTGGGACCACAGGGGCTGTTTGGGCTTCCCTTGGGTTCACACAGGAGCCAGCCTGCAAGGGTGGGGGTCCTGCTGGGGTGCCTGGCCATCCTGGATGAGGGGCTGAAGGCTGTTTGCAGGCTGGTCACAGACCCCAGCCACTCAAGCTCCCAGTGTATACTGGCTGGAAGCAGGTATCTGGTATTTATTTGTCTTCTATTATTGAAACTTTGTTGCCTTGAGCGGAGGCCACACGGCTGTGTGGAGGCCACATGGAGGCCAGGGCAGGCGGGAAGCTTGGCTTCTTCCATTGCTGGGACAACCAAGCCTCTGCCGCCATCTTGGTTGTGTTAATTTGCTCTGATTCGCTGGTGGGCGTGGCTTGGGCGTAGCAGAGGTGCAGTCAATTTGCATGTTTTTCTTTTATTAGATTAGATGTTTACATTGAAAGCATTTTGTTATTGATTTCAGAGAGGAAGGAAGAGGAAGAGATGGAAATACAAATGGGGAGAGAGAAATCATGGATCCCCTGCTTCCTGCATAGCCCACACTGGGTATGGAGCCTCCAACCAGGGCATGCTCCCTGACCAGGAATGGAAACCTGACCTCCTGGTTCTTGGTTCTATGCTCAACCACTGAGCCACGCCGTCTGGGCAAATTTCATTATTTTAAATAATTGTATGCTTATGCTGAGATAGATTTAATGTTTTGGACAAAAAATATAAATAAAATAAGCCGATATCCCAGGACTCAGCTTACTCCCACTCATGTCTACTCACTAGGCAGAGAATGTCCTGCTATTTGTTTATAGATGAAATCTTTCATATTAGATGTTCACTAACACATATTGTGGTAAAAATTGTTTTGGGTATTGAGGAAGATGTAATTATTGGGTATTCGATCAATGGTTTTAGGCCTACATTACAGAGAATGTGCCACCACACAAAATGTTGCAGAATTAATGATTCCTTTGTTGTTTATTTTTGACCCTAAATGTGCCCCAGTCTGGGCTTGAACCCGCAAGCCTGGCACAGTGGGATTAGGTTCCAACCAACAAAGTTACTCGTTGGCCAGGACAAAATTAATGAATCTTTTTGTTGTGAATCCTCACCTGAGGCTATTTTTCCATTGAATTTTAGAGAGAGTGAAAGGAAGTGGAACAGACAGAGAAACTTCTTTGTGAGAGAGACACATCCATTGGTACCTCCTGCAAGGGCCAGTGATCCACCCTGCAAGGTAGGTACGTCCCCTTTACCACAATCTAAGCCAGGGCTGTCAGTCCATGAGCCAATGCTGTATCCGCTAGTGACGCTAGCTAAGGCCAGATTTAATGATTGTTGAGCTAAAAGTATATCCTAGTGTCTTCAGTGTGTATATTTGGTACGTTTGTTATCCATACATAACAGATCACTCAGAACTAGAAAATAAGAAATGGGGGATTTGGAACTGATGAAGTGGCCAAATAGGTTATAATCTTATATAATAAAAGCCTTATACGTGAAGTGTCCGACCATTCATTTGACCTACTGGTCACTATAATGTGCATTGACCACCAGGGGACAGATGCTCCTACCAGTAGGTTAGCTTGGTGTGGGTAAGCTATGGGGACTGGGAAAAACAGGCCAGATACCAGACACCCCATGGACCCCTCCCGCGGTACCTCCCTGACCCCAATTGTGCACTGGTGGGGCCCCATGGCCTGGCCTGCATCCTCTCACAATTCCGAGCCCCTTGGAAGATGTAGGAGAGTCAGTTTGGGCCCGATCCCCGCAGGCCAAGCGGAAGAGGGATCCCACCAGTGCACCAGGCCTCTAATAATAATATAAGAACTAAACGTCTGGCCCAGCCTGTGTTGCTTAGTGGATGAGCATTGACCCATGAACCAGGAGGTCTGATTACATTCCTGGTCAGGGATCATGCCAAGGTTTCCCCTTCAATCCCCAGTCAGTGGAACATTGATTCTCTCTCATCATTGATGTTTCTTTCTCCCTTCCTCTCTGAAATCAATAAAATATTCAAAAAAATAAATGTAGTTGCTCTTTTTTATAAATCCTTGTCCAAGGATATTATTTCCATTGATCTCAAGAGAGAATGGGTGGGATAGTGGGCAGAGAGACAGAGAAACATTGATATGAGAGACACATCAATTGGTGCCTCCCTCAGACACAAAGGGCGGGCTGGAGACCAAACCTTCCACCAAGGTACTAGACCTGACTGGGAATGAAATCTGTGATTGTAGGGAGGACAACACTGTAATCCACTGAGCCACACCTGATGAGCTGTAGATTCTCTTTGAAGGGACTTAAAATAAATTTGAAGGTACATTATATGAGATATGACTGACATAAACATATCACCATGTGAAGAAGTTTATCTCAAAGGTATTTCTAACCCTGTCCCCTTTGGCTCATTTGTCTGCATGTAATGCCCTCCACCAAAAGGTTGCAGGTTTGATTCCTGTTCCTACAAATGCCCAGATTGGGGGAGTGATTCTAGATCTCCTCACGGCGCTTTCGGGAAGCAACCAATGGATGTTTGTTTGAACATGGATGTTTCCATCTCTCCCTCTCTTAATTCAGTTTTAAGAAAAAACACAAACTTTAAAAATATCTTCAAAGCATTTCCCAGCTTTCTGCTGCACCAGAGAGCTGTTCTGCCAGCTGGAGGCAACTGTGTGTATGAGCCTAAGTGAAAGCAGTGGAGAAGGGCTCAGCCACCCCGGAGCTATGTGCAGTGATGAATTTTGCTTGATTTAAGCCACTAAACTTTGTGGTGTTTTATTCCACAACAAAGTCTAGTTGTAAGAGAAAAGACTTCCTGAGATTGAGGTGCTCAGTAGTAAAAACCTAATGCGTGTGACTTGGCTGGATGGAGACTGGACGCTGCAAGCAAAGCAACTAGGATGGCAGTCTGGAAGCACAGAAATCCTGTTTTTTTGTTTTGTTTCTGGAAATCATGTTTAGATCTAGGGAAAAAACTTCTGCCAATAGCACATGAAGCAGAGCCACCACCTGGCCAACCCATAGATTCATAAGAAATACTGAAGTATTGTTGCATTAAGAGAATCATTTTGGGGTGGTTTTATATAACAGATAATGAAATTGAAGCGCTCTTAAGGACTGAATTGTGTCCCCTCAAAATGGATATATTGAAGCCCTAACCCCCAGTATGTCTGTATTTCCAGACATATTGCAAATATGGGGGTTTAGGGAGGTCTTTGAGGCTATATGAGGTCACAAGAGTGGAGTTCTATTTTGATAATAGTGGGGTCCTTATAAAAGGAGGACATAGAATAACCTGTCTGTACGTATTCTTGACATTTTATTTGGATAATATCAAGAAAGGATAGTTAAACCCTGACCGGTTTAGCTCAGTGGATGGAGCGTCGGCCTGCGGACTGAAGGGTCCCGGGTCGATTCCAGTCAAGGGCATGTACCCTGGTTGCGAGCACATCCCCAGTCAGGGGTGTGCAGGAGGCAGCTGATCGATGTTTCTCATCAATGTTGCTGGCTCTATATCCCTTTCCCTTCCTCTCTATAAAAAAAAATCAATAAAATATATTTAACAAAAAAAGAAAGGATAGTTCAATGTCTTTTTCTGAGGTAAATGGGCAATGTTTATTTTTGATGTGTTTATTTTGGATTAAGTGTTATATTCAAATGCTTTATGGAATAATAAAAGGTGTGTAGTGAAAAAACAGTATTTAAGGTAATTCAAGTGTTGGACACAACATTTGTTCTAGTTTATAACAATGTTCTTTAAAAGGTTTATTTTTAAGCAATGCTAATGTCCTAAATGATCACATGTCTTAGTCATCCAAGTCTCATATCCCAGGTCGAGTCCCTCTGTAAGACTCTGGAACTCAGCCATGTTGAGTCTTGGTTTCCTGGGGATGGAGGAAGGGAGCAGGAAACAGGAAAGGCTGCTGGTGTGAGTATGAAATTGCCCATCTACCCAGGGAGAGTTGTGGTTTCACTTTCTAGTTCTTCATCCTCACACAGACCATTGCAATTTTTTGTTTAATGAAAGTGCTAAGCCTTACATGAATTCCAATTGCAGTCATGTTCCTGGGTTCAAGCCCCTCCCCACCTCCAGTCCCTCATTGAGATCCCAGTTCCTGCAGAGTTGCTTCAGCCTCACTATCAACATCAGCCTGCATGGCCGGGGAATGGAGGGGCAAATTAACTCTCGACATAACCCTTTTCAACTGTTTGTTTCCAACACACGTAGATATTTTTCTAGAGGCCCGATGCACGAAATTCATGCAAGAGTAGGCCTTTCTTCCCCTGGCTGCCAGCACCATCTTCCCTCTGGCACCCGGGACCCGGGCTTTCTGCCCACTGCTGGCAGGCACCCAGACTCCGGCTTTCCTCACAGCCCTGGCTTTGTGCGGAGGATGTCTGGTCTAATTGGCATATTACCCTTTTATTATTATAGATTTGAAGCTAAATGTGTGAGTCACTGACTTCCAAACGTCACCATTGGGAATGGAGAGGAATGTTGATAAGCAGGCATCACTGTCAGATGGTGTTTCATTCCACTATCAATAAAAGGAGATCCACTGAAATGTCAGATAGTTGGAGATCATGTTTAACATGTGAGTCACTGACTTCCAAACGTCACTATTGGAAATGGAGAGGGATGTTGATAAGCAGGCATCACTGCCAGATGGTGTTACATTCCATTATCAATAAAAGGAGGAAATCCACTGAAATGTCAGATAGTTGGAGATCATGTTTAACACATCATTTCTGGAGGTTGCCTTTGCCCCTGTGGATTGTATCCTCTGCCACAGAGAAGGCTCCTGTTTGATGCAGGTGAGGCTTCATCAGGGTTTAAGTGAGGGCATTCCCCTCCGTTCCATTGGTGTAGGATCTGTGTTAATCCAGGATCACACCCACTTGATTACTTTTGCTTTGTAAAATTTTTTCCAGTGTAAAAAAGTGAATCTTCCAACTTACTTAAATTTGAAGTATTTTGCCTCTCCTGAATCTGTTTTGCTTAATTTTCAGCCAAAACTGTCTTGCATTTTGATAGACCATCAATTTATTGTGTAGACATTGGGACATACATATTAAGGAATGTCTTTCAATTTATTTGTATCTGCTTTCTTTAGCATTGTTGTGTCATTTTCACTGTACAACTCTTTCACCATCTTTGTAGAATGGATTGTCTTTATGTGTTTATTTGTTTATTATATATGGTGTGTTTCCTGGCTTCAGGTGACAATACTAAGGGGTGATATTTTATTGGCCTAAAGCAATTAAATACTTATATAGTTTAAACATAATCCTCTCTTCTGGCTTACTGTAAATTACATGTTTCTAAACAAGTCATATCTTTAAAGTAAATAAAGATGTATAAAATTCGAATGAATACCTATATTCATGAAAATACTGAAAAGTAACCAAAATAAAAAATGGTGATGGGACTAAGTACTCTGATAACAGTTATTATTCTTATAACTCTGTTTTAAATATTCTTTTTTTAAAAAATATATTTTATTGATTTTTCACAGAGAGGAAGGGAGAGAGAGAGAGAGTCAGAAACATCGATGAGAGAGAAACATTGACCAGCTGCCTCCTGCACATCCCCGCAACCCAGGTACATGCCCCCGACCGGAATCGAACCCGGGACCCCTCAGTCCGCAGGCCGACGCTCTATCCACTGAGCCAAACCGGTTTTGGCTGTTTTAAATATTCTTGATTTTAAAATTGTATTGTTTCCCAGATATAAGGAAAACTAACAGGAGATATTCTACATTAATATCAATGTTCCATTAACTAGGTTATAGGCACCACTAAAGTCAAAATATTCATTCAAAAATGCATTCCCAGAACACAAAAACTTCAGAGACCACAACTTACAACCAGAAAATTTTTATCCCTTGAAAAATACCTCTATTAAAATCTGTTCCCCACTGTGATGGATGGGACCTTACCTCATCAGGTGCCCAACATGAATGGATATCTGGGTCTGTCTCTGACACCCCCATCCAACTGCTTCCCTAAATCAAGCTGCCTCTCCCTTCAGTTGGGGAGACAGGGAGGGGCTGAGAGCTGGCTGCCCTTCCCCTCCCCCCTCCTCACTGAGGATTTAAGGATCCAGGAAAATCACAGGCAGAAAGTTTCTGGTTTCAAACCCAATCTGCCCGCCTTTTGAATTTCTTGTAACTTCACTGTAAGAATGTGCTCCTGGCTTGTGAAGATCCCGGGAAAGACCCCTCCCTGGGACACCTGCAGCTGAAGGGCAGACCAGCCAGTAGCTCTAAGCACAGCCTCTGGGAGCTGGGAAACTTCTGTGTGAATTCCAGGTTCCTCCTCCCTCTTTATGCGTTTGTCACAGCTGCCATTTACTCGCTAGCACCCTAATAAAGGCACAGCCCCTCTATCTGGGGTGCCTTGTGCCATCAGAGGGCACCTGGCCCTTTTCCTCCCTTGCAGTGGTTCTCAACCTTCTGGCCCTTTAAATACAGCTCCACATGTTATGACCCCAACCATAAAATTATTTTTGTTGCTACTTCATAACTGTATGTTGCTACTGTTATGAGTTGTAATGTAAATATCTGATATGCAATATGGTAGTAGGCAACCCTTGTGAAAAGGTCATTTGAGTGCCAAAGGGGTCGCGACCCACAGGTTGAGAACCGCTGCTTAAAGACCTAAAATAAACGCCCCCTCTCTGCTCCTGTCTCTTCTCTCCCTTGTGAATCCTTTCGCAGCCGCGTCACCAGCTAAAACCCTGACAGTGACGTGGGAAACTCCCCCAGGAACCCCCAGGA